GTCATACTACTCAGGCAGATAAGTAACTCGTCGTTAAGAATATGTTAGTTCAATAGTAAGGTGGAGAACCAGCACTCACAGTGTGGGTGCATCATGAGTGAATGCAATTCGTGCTTGAGCATTATATTAGACGGAGGAGCAAAATGAATAGTCTTATCAACTGTCAAGTCAAATAAATATAGTCAAATTCTGAGTCAAATATAGTTTCTTCCCACCCTAGACATATTGCATCCATTGCTTTCCTTGGAGTTGGCAGTTGGATGTGAAAAGCTTTTTCTTAGAGGTTTTTAGGAGCCAGTTGCAAGTGTTCTGGTTTTGTAATTTGTAATAGCACCACTGAATACCGTAGTTGTCTGTGTATCTGAAACAGACTTGTATTATACGTTACCCCTGACCTTTTCTTTAGGGTAGATTTTTTTAAGAAGGTGACAATTGCAGAGCTGAGCTGCTGCTTTGACGAGCACCCACAGGTTTCCTGAGATGCTGCTGCTCTCATCTCTAGCTCGCAGCTGTTTGCCTTAAACGCAGTTAGGTTTGAATCTGTTAGCCAACTTCTGATCATGGAATCCCAGAGTGGTTTGGGTTGGAAGGGAGCTTAAAGCTCATCCCATTCCAACCGCCTGCCACGGGCAGGGACACCTTCCACTAGAGCAGGTTGCTCCAAGCTCCTGTGTCCAACCTGGCCTTGAACACTGCCAGGGATGGAATCTGTTCACCACATTCCCATCGCGTGTGTGTAACTTGCTATTGGTGCTTAGTTAATTTGCATTTTAAAAACGAATTTACCCTTCAACAGAAGCACGCCAGGGTGAGCACAGTTGCAGACAGAAAGGCTCATCACACCAAGCTTTCATGCACTGCTGGAAAGTTGCAAGTCATAGACTATAAATGACAGTCATTCTTGTTGCTGGAAGCGTTCATCTCTTCACTGGAGGGTTTTGGGTGTAGAACACAAAGTCACAGGAAGGTAATACATCTTGTAAATAACACTGTGTTGTTATGGGATCAGCGCACGGGAGCGCGCACATTGTGTTGTGCCAGGGGCACTGTACGTGCTGCACAGTCAACAGAGATGCGCGAGGGGAGGTTCTTCAGAGGAGCCAGCAACCTTCTCTGCACATCTTTCTGCTGAGAGGCTCGTAGCCGATTGCTGTGAGCCCGATGGCCACCGTATGGTGTCCGGCTGGCACAGCCTCACCAGAGGCACATAGCGCCAGTGTCACCATGTGTCCTCCGGGCCCCGGCCACCGGCTTTCGGGAGCCGGGAAGTGGACAGCGGGACCTGCAGGGGGACCAGGACCCAGGAAGGGGAAACTCCACATCCCCATAAACTTTTCCACACCTGACTTAATGAAGTTTGAACCTTGAGCCTGGCTTGAAAGTCTCTGGTAAATGATTAACACCGACATGGCTTTGGTTAAACAACTTGATTTCTACAGAGCTCATGCCTGTGGCTGCATCTTCTCCTTGTTAAGTCGTTCCAGTTTACCACCACAGTTCCTTGACTGGCAGTGATAAATCTGTCTGTGCAAGTGAATAAAGTTAGATTGTCTATAGTTTCCAAAAGCACATGGGAACGGAGCTCAGGACCCTCAAACAAACACCGGGCCTCCCAAAATAAAATCAATTCAAGTTTTTGCAAATTTAGAGCTCTTAAAATTTGGATTTATTTTTCCTCTCTCATCTCTGCTGCTTGACTTGTATTTAGATAAGAATCATAGTTTATTAGGGGTTGAGTTTAAAAACATTTCTGCAAATAACGATACCTTTTTCATTATTCTATTATCTCAGAGTGTAATTTCCCTCCCTTACCTCTTCCTTAGGAAGTGGTTGTTTGTCTTTTACTATAGGTAAAAGATTTACATGAAACCTCCAGCCAGCTCGCTGTAGCTCTTGCAGGAGTCCTTGTGCACGATAATCCCTCTGTTCTCCATGTTTCAGGCAGGCAAAATTGTGTTTTACACAACCAGGGGACTGTCAGTGTCTGGCAGCTCTCCACACAGTTAGTAAATATTGGCCTTATCTGATACAGCCAGGCTTGAAAAGATATGCCAGGAGCCCAGATTAGATTGCTGGCTACTGCTTTATTAATCAGTGTAATAATTTATTTTTAGTTTTGTAAGTCATATCATCTGTTTTCTTTCTCATATTACATTTTCTGTGGTTCTTCTGCAGAAAATGAGCCCTGTTTAAAAATTAAAGGTGATTGAAGAGTTTCAGTGGAATATGTTTGGCACTGCCACGGTTTCTATGACAGTTGATGAATATTTCTTTAAAAATGCTCTTGTCAGAAATGCGTAAGGTATAAAGAGTTTTATTTTTGTATCTAAATTAGCTGTCTTCAAAACTCTGCACAGAAAGATGTCTCCATCTTTTTCTGGCTTTAATCATGGTAATGAAGTGAAGTTCTCAAGTTATATAGTCCTTATTTAAAATCGTCATGTATTTCAGTGTTTAAACAGAGATTTGAGTATAAGAAAAGGAAGATGTAGAGAAAATAAGACAACTTACAGTAGCTTTTGACTAGCCAGTGATTAGTGATTTAATGGGGGGTAGAGGGGGTTCTGCATATAACACTACAAAGTGCAGAAACAAGTTAATTCCTTTTCCCAAATGTATCAGTGAGCTGGGGAAAAACAAAGCAAAAGACACCACAACAAACCCAACACCTGAAGAAAGTAATGGCTGCCCCATCCCTGCAGAGTTCAAGGCCAGATTGGACACAGAGGCTTGGAACAACCTGTTATAGTGGAAGGTGACCCTTCCCATGGCAGGGGGTTGAGATTGGATGAGCTTTAAGGCCCCTTCCAACACAAACCAGTCTAGGATTCTGTGATACGTGCATGGTCCTTATTGAACAGCTTTGTGTTAAGAGGCAGAAGAAGTAGGTTTGAATCCTCAGCTTCTGTGAGGTTCCATAAGGACAAGAAACCTCGTGGAACCTTCCTGCAAATCCATAGCCATTAGTTTTTATCTTCATGGAAGAAGATGGGGCCATGCGGTGGCAGTTTCCATCACTACAGTATTCATTCCTCGAGTGCCTCTGCTCTGAGGAAGGCAGTCGTGCTTTGTAGAAATTAGGATGAGTGTGTAATTAAAGATGCCTGTTTGCAAGGACATCAAATAAATGTAACTGGGTTAAATTACATTCTGCCATTACTTGGATGTTGAGTGCTGGGTTGTGCAACCTTAGTGTTTTATTATAGCTCTCTGCTCTTTAGAGAAGACAAATTAATTGGAAAACACCGAAAAGCCATCATATGGATCATAAACAAGATTACAGTCTATCGGGGACTGCCACTTCTGTTGACAGGCTACCTAGTGCTAGTTGTCAGACTCTGCGGAGTAATAGAGCAGAAGTAGTGTTGTAGCAGTTCACAAATGTCTGAACACAACGGAGCGATGTGAGGGATTCGAGTTCTTTTCCAAGTTCTGGAAAGGATCATTCTCTCCTGGGTGGGCTTTCTTCTTGCCCTTTTCCTCAAGGTTGACTCATTTACTTCATTCCCT